AAAAAAAAAAAGAGAGAATAATAATAATAACGAGGGCTGGCCGCAAAAAGGGAAGTGTCACCGACTCACACACACAATACACATACACACAGGCGCATGCTGGTTGGACCATTTTTACTAGCTGACGATTGGATAACTGGGGATATGGGGGGGAATAGTGAAAAGTAATTTGGCTGATTGGGGGGGGGACACCCAAGCAGAGAAGGAAGGGTCACTTTTTTCAGCCCAGTCATTACATTCAGCCAGCGAACCAGAGCAAATTCGAATTTCTGCTAGAGTAAAAGAAAGGGGGGTCACATTTCCATGTTTCTCTTTTTTCCCTCACTTCTTTTCCTTAAGCCGCCCCCCCAAATATTGCTCCTGCCTGATTGGTTACGTTTTCTTATTCGAGGCAGTGGGAGCCTCTTGGTGAAACCACAGTGCAATCGTCATTATCCTTTTTTTTTCATTCTCAGGTCATAGGCAAGCCTTTAAGCTTTAGTCTTGATCAAGGAGATTCAAATCATGATTGTAAACGCCCAGAGTTGAGTTCAGTCACACACATTTGGTTTTGGCTGAACTGGAACGCCCCGCCCAACCAGCCAGTCCGCCGGGTGAATGTACACTGCAGCAAAGGCACGCAAGCTTAAGTGATATATTTTTTTTGCTTGGGCCCCTCAAAAAATAAAACGATGTGAGCATCATCACTCAAGGGGATGAGAGACTGGAAGGCAGGCAAGTAAAGCAGGAAATAATAACAATAACAATCATCATGCGGTCGCATCCATGCCACTGCACTGTGGATAGATATCAATCATCAACAAAAAATTCCTTGCTTCCCAATCAACCAATACTTTTCTGGTCCCCGAGCAGCTAACCCCCTCTCACACCTTAAAAAAGTCCTTTTGATATGAATCGCTTTTTTTAAACGCAGGATACCATGTGTTACGAAAGACAGCAGCTAGTTGATTTTTTTTTCTGCCCACCCACCTAGCTTTTCTGCAAGTCAACCTCATTCTCCTGTAGGGAATTTTGACCACCTTTACAGACATGATCTACGGGCTCATGACAGACTAAAACTTTTTGAATTTCGTGATTATATGCCCTGTACCCAAGAGCGCTCAAGGTTTGGTTTGGGTTGGATCGTCCGCACAAATGGACTTGCTCACTTGACTCAGCCTCTCCCCCTCCCCTGTCCTCCTCTCCCCCCAAAGCCAAGACAAGAATGCCATCACATTGCAATGTAATAAAAAAAAAAAAGAGTTGCAACCGATATGCTTTACCTACTTACCTCTGGCGTGATATTATCAACCGATGGGCCGGTATTAAAAGGAACTTACTTCGACACATTCACATACCCTTGTAGACCCGTATAGAATGAAACACTTGCACATCGCGAATTTTAATAGAACATGTTAATGTCCTGCCCTGTCGTTGAGGAAGTGAGAGTGAGGCATAATGATATTCAGCCCAGCCGAACCCAACCCAAATCCAACCCAACCAAGCAACCCAGCTCAGTTAAGTCAGTCTTGTGCTCAGTTTTAGCTGGCTGGCTAACTGGCTGACTCAATTAGCTGCGGTCATACTTAGTCCACTCTGCTTTTCTCTCAGCTGCTATTGCTGGGCTGTCTGTTATCCAAAAAAAAAAAAAAATTTTTTTTAAGGTGCGGGCGGATGTCATTACCGCCTTCACCGGCTTCGAATAATCCCGGAGTGCTTGCCTGCAATAGTGTTTCATTCGGGCATGAGAACGTGAAGTCGGTGTGAAGTGCGGATTATCACTATCGCACCTATTTTAGTCACTCCAGTCATGATGCTGAACCCCCATTTTATTGCTTGCCAACGTGAGATTCCCAGCTCCGGCTCACTACGTCTCAGGTGCCCTGTCAGTTCTGTGGAATCGATCGACGAACGATAAGAAATAGTCTCATAGGCAAGCTCAGATGAAACGTGCATCTGAGAAAGTATTGCTGGTGGTGCCACTTATTCCAACCCCCCTACAGACAATTCATAACCCTATTCAACGACCATGACGTATTCCCTGTGTGCAAACGTACACCACAAGCTCTCATTCACTGCCGAACGGGAACAATGCATTATTGGCATCATCCCTTTACAAATGGTCTGTCATGCTATTGTTTCAGAATGATATAAATGCTTTGCATTCAAGACACTGTTAAATATCAACAATGCAGCCCGCTGGCTTTGAATCATACACCCAAGATTAGAGAGACGACGCCTTTTCCCATCTATCCGCTGCGTCTAAAGGAAAAATATCTTTACCGGAATCTAGGCAAAGGAAAGAAAGTCTGTACAAAGACACATTCGCCTTTTCGAGTGTCACTTCAACCGAAGGGTCAGAAGAAAAGCTGAAAGTGAGATAAAGTAAAAATTACTAGTGTGTTACCTGCGAAGACTGTGATCAGGTCCACATAGGCATGATTGAGATAATCCATTGGTAGAAGAAGTAAAGGTAGGAATTACAATGGTATTGTAATATAGAGACAGTCCAGAAAACAATAATGTCTTAACATTGAAAGTATCCATGGCGAACCGTCTCTACGACATTCTCGTATGAGTATGTCGACCACGTAGGACCACCATAAACTTTCCGACATGCCAATGCCCAATGCCCTAAATAACGAAAGGCTAACCATGGTCGCCTATCATAGCAATGTTGCGTCTGATACAACCATTGAGCCGAAATCCATCTATTCCATTCAACAAGGATACCACCACTACGATGAAAATGTGTCTTTGCCTTTATGTAAATGCCAAAAAATAAAAATGCTATCACGTAAACGAGACTGTGATATGTTGACCACCCACCAAAGTCCTACATATTTTAATAGGGTCAGTTTTAATGCTAACGGGCGAGGCGATTTTTTTTTTTCGTCGACATTCAATTGATGACTACACCTTACCTATTATATTTTCGCCGGAAAGTAACTGCTGCATCAATGGTTTGAAATGAGAGGGTTGCCTTGCCAGCAGGGCGGTCTACCTGAAGCTCCTACAATCAGGATAATTTAGCTAAATGACGTTTGAAGGCATAACTCTCATGATTTCCTACTTACTTTGATTCCTCCGGGAACCACTTTACCAAGGCGATGAAGTTCAGTTTCGGGTACATCTGCCGCCAAGTTTCCAATGACAAGTCTTGATGATTTTCCTCCAACCACTGCCGGATGCTCTAGCGTAGGAGCTTGGGCTAAATCGCTGGAGTTGGTCACCACATCAGCAGATTTGGAAACCCCTTTTATGGAGATACCTTGCTGCCCTGTTGCACTTTTAGATGCATCAACCTGGAGTCGCTTTTTGTCAACCACATGGTCCTGGGATGGTCGACGCTTGGTACTTCCATAGGGTACTAGTGGATTTATAAAAAGATTAGCTATGGTATGAATGCTCATTTCAAACATGTATGGACTGCCGCAACTGTAACACTTACTATTTCGCTCCCGTCCAGCCTTGACGCCTGCATCATGTATAGTCGTAGATTCCTATCGTGTGGAAAGCAGGACAAAGCAATGGTCATTAGCGTCACATATACGCAGTCAGAACGAATGCTTAAAATCTCACCTCCTTGTTAGATTGTTGCCCTCCTGCGAATGGCCTTGGGGTATTTCTGTTTCCAGGAGTGTTGTTGTAAAACGGCATCCTCATTGCGCCTGCTTGCTGAAATGCCATGGCTTGCTGTTGTTGCTGCCATTGTTGCTGCTGTTGCATCCTTAACATCTCCTGTTGCACTTGTACATTGCCTGCAAACTTGGGATTGATGTGGATGGTTCCGGAATAGTTCATCATTCCCGGTGCGCCAGGGAAGCCGCCCATCATTGCATTTGGAAATGGCATTCTACAACATAGTAGGTGATGATTAGTTTCAAGCGTAGTATAGAAAATGTTTGGACTCGATTGGACATTAAGTTGTTGATGCCATCTGCGACATTAGCCATTCCAGTACCATGATACGATCTACCAGGGAGGTGTTGTCTTCAGTAAGGTTGCTTGTATCCAATTCAATGCGTTGAGAGGGGAGTGACATTATTTGATATCAAATATTGTTGGTATATTATCGCCGTTGCTACATATCAATTGCTCTTATCCACGCCGATCATTTTTGTATTTTATGTTGATCGGTTCAAATCGCTTCAAAACCAGCATGACATAAAAACCACTTACCCCATTCCCATCATCGGTGGTGTCATCATACCACCACCACCCATTACTGGATAATTCATTACATGCCCCATCGCGTGAGGAGCATTCATTGGTCTATGGTTGTTTCTTCTATTGTTTCGATGGTATCCAGGATTACTGACATAAGTGTTTGATGTGCTGTCATTGTTTGCCGCTTCTTTCGCGGTTTGTGCTTGGGTTGATGTATTAGATGGTTCCTTCTTAGACGGCTTTTCATACGTCTGTTCCTCCAGCTCAGTAGTAGCAGTTACGCTCGCGTCTGCCTCGACAGCTGGAGGCACGTCTGATTTGTCTTCGGTGGCATTAGCTTGCTCGCCAAGTAGAGCAGCTTCCTCTCGTGCAAGTTCAGCTTCCAACTCGTCAGCATCGAGTTCGTTGGGATTTATGTCGTCAAAAGCAGTGGGATCATACTCTAATTCGTCAAAGTTGAGATCGTTGTTCGACATTACTATTATTCGGCTCCCTTCGCTTTGTTACGGCCAAAAACTCTGGTTGTCTGCTTTATAACTCAGCCCTGACAAAAACGTTACTGCTTTGTTGGGACTGCCAGCCAGAGCCTGCTATGGCGCACGTGACCTGTGGTTCGAAAAATGTCCATTTCTTGACTGACTTTGGAACAGGTACCAATTTCTTCCTCTTCCTTTCAAGTCCTGAACTTTTTATAACAATGTAAGTATACAACTCAAGACTCAATGGACTTCAAGATATCTCTACTACTACTAGGGATCAAGGAACCTACTACTGAGACCATGCTGTGTGCTTTCCCTTATTTTCTTACGAGAATGGGTGGATCGTCCATGGGCCAACCATGGGATCGAGATTTAGTGATCTGAGATGGCACTATGAGTGCATTCCTCTATCCATTCTAAACGAGGTTCTGGTGGTCCCGTTGTTCTCTCAAGTTGGTAGCATGAGATATCGTCCATATCGTCCATGGCGGCTTACGTCGGACAATGAAAAACTTCGAGAGGCTGGTGAACTGACTTCGGTTTTTTTTGGCAGGGTTAACTTGCGTAGTCAGAAGCGTTTAGCCGCTAGCGTCCTCAAGTGCGGTCAGAGAAAGGTTTGGCTCGATCCCAATGAAGTCAATGAGATCTCCAATGCCAACTCCCGTAAGTTTTTTCAACTTTACAAATTTTTCATTGGATATTCATAACTCATACACTTTACTTCTTCAGGCCAAAACATCCGCAAGCTCGTCAAGGACGGTCTTATCA